GGGTCTCATTTCTCTACACACAGCTTAGGGTGTAACCACAAACTCTATCCCTGGAATAAAATGTGACTCTCATTCTCAGGTCCATCGAGCCCCAAATTCAGGTTTTCCACCTTCAAAATTTCCCCAGGGAGATCTGACTTTGGGGGTCCTTTCCTTCCTCTGAATTTCCACTCTCTCCTAGATTTTGTTTCTTGTCAGTCCCTCCATAGATTAAAGATTTAATGCCATCCAAAGCACTCTCATAGAAACACCCTAGATGATGTTTGACCAAATGTGTGGTCACCCCATAGTCCCATCAAATCAACACTTAAGCTGAGCATGGTGGTACAGGTCTATAATCCTAAATACTTGGGAGGCGAAGGCAGAAGGATTGAGAGTTGAAGGCCAGACAAAGTTAGGAGATCCTGTCTCAAAAAATGAAATACAAACAAAAGGGCTGGGAATGTGACTTAAGTACCAGAGTGCCTGCTTAGCACGTGTGAGGCCCTGAATTCAAACCCTAATACCACAAAAACAAAATCAACACCTAAAATTGCCGTGATAGCCCTGTGTTTTCCATTATGTTCAGGGTGGAGGTGTATCTGATGTCCAGTTCATGGTTCCCCTGGGTATGGTTCTTGTTCTTGACATGGCTCCATTTAAGCCATGTCTTTTGTGACATCACGCAGGCTCAGGACTTCAGACACCATTTGTATGGTGATGACTACGTTCACGTGACCACTCACAACTTTCTCTTAAACTCCACATTCACATGACTAACGCCTTCTGTTCACCCTCCACTTGTATGGCTAATATGCATGTTTATTAGCCAAATGGAATTCTTGATTTTCTTGCTGAAAAATAATTCTCTTGAAGGGACTGGGAGTGGCAGCTCATGCCTGTAATTCAAACTACTTGGGAGGTGGAGATCAGGATCATGGTTCAAGGCTAGCTGGGACAAAAATGCAAGACCCTATCCAGAGAAATAACTGAAGCCAAGAAAAAAAAAGGCAGGGGGGGGGGGGCAGAGGGGGTGTGGTTCAACAGGTAGAGCACCTGCCTAGTAAGTGCTAGGCCCTGAGTTCAAACCCCCTTACCACCAAAAAAAAAAAAATCTCTTGTTTTTTCCCTTCTCTGGCAGTGGCAGCTTTAAACTTCCAAGTGCTCAGGCTTCAAACATTGCATCATCCCTAACTTTTTCTTTCTCTTTCTCTGTGTGTTCTATCTGTGAACCAGCATGTTCATTCATCTACTCCTCACTATCACCACCACACCATCCAGTCTCCAGAGGCCCACCTCCTGTTCCCAGCACAGCAGCCTTAGAAGAGTCTGGTCTGCACAACAAGTGGAATGAATAAGGGAAAGAAAATTCCCATCCTTTCCTTGCTCACAAGTCACTCAGTGTGATGGTTAATTTTAGGTATCAACTTGACTGAGTCATGAGGTGCCCAGACATTTGGTCAAACATTATTCTGGGTGTTCCTGTAAAGGTGTTTGGAATAAGATTAACCTTTAAATCAGACTTTTGATGAACGTTTAAATTAGACTTGGAGTGAAATGTCTCACTGTGGGTTGTCCTCCACAGTGTAGGTGGGCCTAGACCAATCACTTCCTGAAAGCCCAACTAGACAGAAAGGCTGACCTTCCTGTGAATGCCTGGAACTCCTATCACTGACTGCTTTCAATCTAGGACATGAGTTTCTTCCTTTCTTTGGACTTTAACTCAAACAGTGGCTCTTCCTGGCTCACAGCCTACCAGTGTGTGAACTGGGAACTATACCAGTGGCTCTCTCTTCAGGGTCTCCACTTTCCAGCTTCAGATCTTGGGACTTGTCAGCCTCTATAATCATGGAAGCCAATTCTTTATACAACAGTCCTCCATGGGGAAAAAGGAGCCCTTATACACTGTTGTGGGAATGTAAATTAGTACATTCACTATGGAAAACAGTAAGGAGGCTCCTCAAAAGACTAAAAATAGATCTGCCATGTGATCCAGAAATACCACTTGCAGGGATATATCTGAAGTCAGGTTACAATAAAGACACCTGCACATTCATGTTTATTATAGCACTATTCACAATAGCTGAGTTTTGGAAACTGAAGATATCCCACTGCTAATGAATGGAGTAAGAAAATGTATACAATAGAAGTTTATTCAGCAATAAAGAAAAATGAATTTTGTTGTTTGCAGGTAAATGGATGGACCCAGAGAACATCATCTTAAGGCTCAGAAGGCCGTATGTTTTCTCTCATATGTGGAATATAGGCCTAATACAAACACAGCAATACTATGGAAAACAGGTCATGCTAAGGGGAAGTCACATATGAGAGGGGGAGGTAAAAGAAGGAAGTTAAGGTGAATGTGGTTGATGTAGTTTCTATGCAAGAATGAATATGGAATTTTTAAACCTACTGAAATCACCATAAGAAAGGGACTAAGGTAGAAAGGAGAAAGATAGAGGGGATGAACCAATTTGGGTTATAATACATATATATACATGAAAATGACACAATAAAACACCATTTTCCTTTTTCAAAGGCAGGGGATATGTTCTAAGACACCAGTGGATGGCTAAAACCACAGATAGTACAAAATCTTATACATATGTTGATGGTGTTCACTTTTTTCACTTACAGGAAGTATTTTATGACTTCTTTTGGCAAATACAAATTACCTACAACTCTCTGTGCTTTGGGGTCATTAAGGATCGTCATTCATTAAAATAAAGATTGCTCGAGCACAAGCACCATGTTAAAGCACAGTCCGTCTGGTAACTATGGTGGTTACTAAGTGGATAGGTGCTAATGAGTGGGGTAGTATGTACAACCTGGACACTCTGGGCAAAGGAATAATTCACATCCTGGGCAGGACAGAAAGGGACACCGAAAGATTTCTTCAAGCTACTCCAAAGGACGTGTGTGATTTAAAACCTATAGGTTCTTGATTCCTGAAATTTTCCATATCATAGTTTTGAACCATGATTGATTATAGGTAATGGAAACCAGGACATGTGAAAGTGTGGATAAGGGGGACTGCTGCCATCAGGTGCTGGAGAGCCCTGGTCAATACATCTATCAAAATAAGGTTGTGCTAGAAGCATAGCTCAAGTGCCAGAGACCTACCTAACAAGTGCAAGTTCCTGAGTTCAAACCCCAGTACCTCCAAACAAAAGTCAAGTTCTTACAATGACCTCCACATCTCTCCATGATCTGACCAGGCTATCCCACATCCACCCTCTCACCCCTTTCCCCCCCAGTCCACAGCCATGCTGTCACCTGACTGTTTTCCGAGCACATCAGGTGCATTCCCACCTTGGGACCTTTAAATGTGTCTTTGCCTTGGAATGGACTGCTTTTTCCTAAATGCCAGGATTCATTTTCTCACTTCCTTCATATCTTCACTCACATGGCATAACTCTAAGCCATGTTTTTATTATTTTTTTAATTGTTCATTTATTCACATGTGTGTACATTGTTTGGGTCATTTCTCCCCCTTGCCCCCTCCCCCACCCTCTCCCCGCCTCTAGGCATGTTTTTAAAACATGTTTTTAAAACCCAGCAGTCCTCAATGATTCCTCTGTTGCATTCCTGCCCCATCCCTGGAATATATCATTCGCTGGAAGATTGTACATTTCATTTCCATATTAAATGTCTGTCTTCTCACTACAATTTTTTTTGGCAGTACTGGGGTTTGAACTCCAGTACTTGGCTTTGCTTGCTAGACAAGCACTCTACCACTTGAACCACTCCACCAGCCCCTTTTGGCTTTAGTCATTTTTTTTTTTGGATAAGTTCCAATGTTTTTACCTGGAGCTGGCTTCCAACTGCAATCCTCCTACCTAGGCTTCCAGGGTAACTTGGAGACCAGCCATGCCTGACTCTTTGTCAGGATGGGGTTCCCACTAACTTTGAGATGGCCTTGAACTGTGATCCTCCCAATCTCTGCCTCCCAAATATCTGGAATCACCAACATGCACCACTATACCTAACCCCTTTCCACTGCAATTTTTGACTCACCTTTCCATGAAAGCTTGACTTTGCTGCTATATATCTACCTCCTAGGACAAGGCCTGGCTCACAGTTGGTGTCCACAAAACACTAGTTGAATGACCAAACACTCATTCAGGCACTGTCTTAAGCTTATAACACACATGAATGCATTTAATCCCCACAGCCATGTTTATAATCAGCACAGGCTTGATATGAACAAATCTAGGCACAGAGAGGTTAAGTAACATTTGTAAGTATGAAGAGCTGGTAGGCCAGGGGTCAGGGTTCCTCCTTAGCCACTCTGCCTCCTCCAAATGTGGCTCTCAGGTCTGGTCTGTACATCAATGCCAGAGCTAGACAAGGAAAACCATGGGATGTGGGATTCTAAATTGAACACACCCCCATGGACACTGACCATATGCGGAGTCTATCTCTCTTGATTGCATGAACCAGGTCATACTCAAGTGAGGCATCTGAAACTGAGAACTTGTCTTCCCCCCTGACAGTGGAAGGCCCTCCCCACCAGGACTCCCACCTGGGCTCACAGCCCCTGTTATATAATAGGGAATTTGTTCTTTGATCTCCCTGAAGGTTCAGAGCTCTGACTCACTGGGAGTTGGGTAGGTGGTGCCCTATTCCCTGTATAGACATTGTGCATGAGGGATGAGAACTTCCTCACTTATGACTATTTAACACTACATCTGGGAATGTCTCAGCCTCACCAAACCATCAGGATGGCCTTCGTTCATTTTTTCTTTCTGCTTTTTCCCCTTGCTGATGTCCTGTTGACTTAAACATCATTTGGAAGGTGGCCACTTCCAGGCTCCTCTCTCTCACCCTCTGGGGACCTCATCACCTACAGTAGCTCATAAGGGTGGGAGACAGATGGTTTCCCAGGCTCTGTCATACCCTCCAAAGGCAAGTTACACCCAACTTCCCCTTGATATCTAGTCACAGCTCTCACTTCAACACTGGATTCCTGTCATATCTCCTTGGCCTCACCCTCAGTCAGGGCACTTCTTCCCTGCCAGGAACCTGGATGGATTCTGGCTGTGGCAGGTGCAGGATGCTGGCCTCTGCTGCTGCCCCTGCTGTGGAAGGGTAAGTGGGCTGAAAGAGAAAGGGTGGGCATGGGTGGTGGCTGCTGCTGAGCCACTGTGTCCCCCCAGGCTCCCTGCAGGAGAATCCAGAGTTTGACCTCCAAGTGCCAGAGTTGGTGGCAGTGCAAGAAGGCTTGTGCAGTCTGGTGCCTTGCTCTTTGTTGTCTTGTGGAGTTTGTGGTTTTCTCCATTTCCACTCTATATGTCCTGGCTTCGGGATGAAGATAACACAACCTACAGAGATCCGGTGGCCACAAATAATCAGAGAGAGCAGTGAAGACAGAGACCAGAGACCGATTCCACCTTCTTGGAGGCATCTGGACCAGTGACTGCTCTCTGGACATCACAGATGGCAGGAAAAGTGACACAGGAAGCTACGTCTTTCAGGTGGAAAAAGAACAGTTTGGAAACTATACTTATGAAGAGATGAATTTGAAGGTGACAGGTAGGCAGGGACCCTAGGAAAGGACCATAGGTTGTACAGCACCCCATGTTAGAACAGAGACAGGAAAGTAGACCGTTTCCTGCTCTGGTCTTGAGGTTGGGTGGTCAGAGGGAATATAGGAACTGGGGACAGCTACCTTCTATGGTAGTGTTTCAGGAACCAGTCCTCTCAGGACCACCCGGTGAGTCTCCATACTCTGAGGTCCAGGCATCTCTTTGTCTCCTCTTCAGACCTTGCAGAAAAACCAGTCATCCACTTTCCCGAACCTCTGGAGTCTGGACATCTCACAAACCTGAGCTGCAGCCTGCCAGGATCATGCCAAGGGGGCAGACCCATCACCTTCTCCTGGAGGGAAGATGTTCTTAAAACCATGCACTCTGGGACCTTTGACACCTCAGTGCTCACCCTCATCCCACAGCCCCAGGACCACAACACCAGTCTCACCTGTCAGGTAAATCTCCATGAAACTTATGTGACCACAGAGAAAACCATATGGCTCAATGTCTCCTGTGAGTTCTGAGAAGGCTTGTGTGTATGTGTGTGTGGTGTGGTGTGGTGTGGTGGACAGAGTTTCAGAAAGAGAATGGTAACATGAGAAAACTTGTGTAAAGCTGAGCCTTTGGAGTCCAGGTGAGGAAAGCATCATAAGACAGATCCTTCACCTTTCCCATTTCCATAGTCTCTCTTTGGTACTTGCTGGGACTCCCCACTGCTCACCTCTGAAGCGGAGCCACCTCCCCTGTCTGTCTATGTAGATGCTCCACAGAAACTCAGCATCATCATCCTCAGAAATGGTGCAGGTAAGAAAATGTCTGCCTTCGCCTGGGCGGGGCTGGGGGCTCATTCAGCTCAGGGCTCAGACATGGAGAGGGAATCTCCCTTCTTCCTCACCCCCTGTGCCTAGGCTGCCCCATCCGCCCCATCAACAAGTCCTGGAATTGAGAGTCCCACTAATGTTTTCAGTTCATCCTTTCCTTCTCTTCTTTTGTTTTCAAAATTATTTCTTGCTGTGATGACCCACAATGTGAAATTTACTGTCAACTATTATGATAAGGACAATCAGGACTGATGGGTCCATGTTGTGCAGCCCATCAGCAGAGCTCTTGCTACCCTGCAAAAATGGAAACACTCTGTACCCAGTAAACACAGTTTCCCAGGTCCCTGCCACACTCCTGCAACCAATCTTTCACCTTCTGTCTCCATGATTTGACTGCTCAGTGCACCGTGCCCTTCGCCTGGGTTCCTGTCTGCTCCCCCATCTTCCTGTGCATGACCTCCCTCAAGCCTGATTTAAGCATCATTTCTAGGGCTCTCCAAAGGTCCCACTTGGGACTGTCATTTCTTCCTTCCTTCCTTCCTTCCTTCCTTCCTTCCTTCCTTCCTTCCTTCCTTCCTTCCTTCCTTTCTTTCTTTCTTTCCTTCCTTCCTTCTTTCCTTCCCTCCCTCCCTCCTTCCTTCCTTCCTTCCTTCCTTCCTTCCTTCCTTCCTTCCTTTCTTTCTTTCTAACACCACAACTTATCTGGACATCACTCTAAATAGCTGCCTTTCTTACCAGCTGAGCCACTGAGTTCAAGTTCCAGACCTTTACTTCTCAGATCCTTTCCCTCCTTTCCTTCTCCTTGATTCCAGAAACAGCCCAGGTCTTGTCCTCAAACCAATGCCTCAGCTTCCTGCACAGCCTCCTTGCCTCCTGTCCAGTCTCTCACTCCATGCCCTCCGTGGCCTCAGCAGGATCTTTGTAGATCCACAGATGCTCCTGTGACTCTTCTACTTACAAAAAACTACTGATTTGCAGAGACCATAAGCAAAGGTCAATGCCAGCAGCCTGGCATTCAAGGCTACAGAGGTCTGTCTCTACCTCCTCTCCCAGTATCAAGGTGTTTCTGAACACCTGGTTCTCATGGTCAGGCTGCAGATATGTACCTTGTCTGTTGGGCTGACTCCCTTCTTGACACATCTCTCCCCAGCTGCCCTCCTACATTGGCTTAATATGAGGCATAGCCTCTTCTTTCCAGCCTCAGCTCATCCTAGTCTTTATCTGACCCCATGGTCATCACCACTTCGGCTATGATTAATCCAGTCTCTGCACTGTCTTCCTGTTTGTGGGGGTGAGGAAGGGAATGAGGGAGAGACAGACCTTTTTGCTTCACCTGTGTTACTGTGTGATTCTTGTCCAGCCCCACAGACCCTGAGCAGGAGCAGGTCACTGCCTGTCCTGGAGGGCCAGTCCCTGAGTCTGGTTTATGTGGCTGACAGCAAACCCCTGCTTCACTGACCTGGTCCAGGAAGGAAGAAATCCTAGGTCCTTCCAGGTGTCAGCATCTGGGGTCCTGGAGCTGCCCCATGTAAGGGCCAAGATGATGGGGAATTCACCTGCTGGGCTCAGAACACTTTGGGCTCCCAGCACCTTTCTGTGAGCCTGTCTGTGCTGAGTGAGTAACAACACAGGAGCTGGGGCATTGGCTTGGACAGGTTTTTGGTATGTGGCCAAATCCTGGGGGTGAAAGTTCACCTGATCTCTTTCCTAGGATGCCCTTCTTCCTGCCCATGTGCATCTGAGAAGCAGGAGGGATCCTGGCCCCTGGTCCTCACACTAATTAGGGGATCTCTCATGGGAGCTGGCTTCCTGATTGCCTCTGGCCTCACCTGGGTCTACTATACCAGGTGAGCAGGCCTGACACTCTCCAGGGAGGGACAGTGATGGAAACCCAGGTTCCATATGGGGCTGAGTTTTCCACTGTACCTGAAGTTATAGTGGTTTTCTCTGATCTGAGACTCTTGTTGGCGCTTCAGGCGTGGAGGTACCCAAGAGTACAGGGCTGAAAGAGCTCACTGAGCCCTTTCTCTTCCACTTGGAACTGAGGTGTGGGTACTGAGTCCAGAGAGACATTGCTCTTGGCTTCTTCCTGGAACTCTTACTCAAAGTCTACTGCCTGTCTCTCTCATCCTGCCCATCCCACTCTTCATCTACTTACCCACAATCCCTGTTGCTCCTCCACCATTCCCAGAGTGCCTGATTAACCCTTCTCCCCCTTCTCTTCCCTCTCCATCCCCAGTTTTGTGAAGGGAGTGAAATAGCCATCCTACAACTCATTACTAAGAAGTTACTGTGCTCACACTTGAGTTCCTGGTTTCCTCAACTTCTCTCAGTTTAGACCTGGACACACATGGAGTGGTGAACATGGCTTTCTTTTCCAGTCAAAGCTCCTACTTCATTACAATTATTATGAGCTAACAAGGCCTTTAATTGTAAGTAAACATTTTATTAAGCAATCCCACATAAAATTTGATTTCAGCATTTAATATCCATGTAGTAAATTATAGAAAAAATTAAGCTTATTGTTCTATTCTATTTCTTGGTCTCTGAAAGGTTTTTCTTCACCAATGTTTATGGCAGCAGTCTGTACAATAGACAAAACATGGAAGCAAGCCAAGCGTCCATTGCTGGATAAACAGAAAAACAATATGTAGTATGTACCTAAAATGCACAGTGTTAAACCTTAAAATGGAAGGAAGTTCCAACTCAGGCTTCAACATGGGTGACTTTGAAGATATTATGTAAGTGAAATAAGTCAGACATGAAAAGACAATCCTGTAGTTCTACTTACATGACTTTTGTGGCAATATTCATAGGCAGTAAGGATAATGGTGTTTCCAGAAGCTGAGGTAAAGAGGAATCAAGGAGTTGATGTTCAATGGGCACATATTTGAGTTTGGGAAGATGAAATATTTCTGAGGATAATGGTACAGTAAAGTGGACATATTTAATGCCACTAAACCAGACACATGAATACAGTTTAAATGGTAGATTTATGTTAATAATAAATAACACATTTTAAAAACAATGTAAGTCAAATATAATAGAAATACAAACTGTATATTCCTAATTAATGGAAGCCAAATTGAAGGAAAAGACTTCATAGCCACATGAGGCTTCTCTTGAGACCCTCCAGCCTCAACCTCTCAAGTGCCGGGATTACAGGTGTGTACACCAAGCCCACCATCGTTGTTACTTATAATCTAAGGTACTTATGTTACCACAACATAAGGCACTTTGTTGCAGGACCCAAATTGGAATAAGACAATTTATATTTTCATTCTATGTTCTCTTCCTTCATTAACCTTTCGTATGTAGCCTTCTCCATCACCCCCATGTACTTATGGTCTCCCTGAATCCGAGCCTCTCCTCAAATACAGGAACTGGAGCTTTGTTAATAAGTCCTCCATTCCCATTTCCATTTGCTCCAAAATGACTGTTTTGGGTTCACAACTTCCAAGATTTTAACAGCAGACTTCAGGTTGTATGATACAAAAAGTGTCCAGACTTGATCTTTTTCAAAATTTTAATATCCACACATAGCGAGCTGATTGCCCATAACAAATAACACAAATCTGCCACCCACCACTATATGGGAGAGGCTTCTTGGACCTAAAGAGTGGTTGTTATAATCCAGAAGGTATCCCTTCCAGCACCATGAGAATGGGATTATTTTCCTGTATTTCTCTAACATTTTATGAGTGTATTTGGTATAACACCCTTCCTTCAACATTTGGAGACAGCAGAAGAGAATGATCCTTCAGGACAGGAAGTAGGTCAAGTTGGATGCCAAATACCATGCTGCAAAATGTCACCATTCCTCCCCAACACAGAAAGGCTTCTATGGGGGTGGCTCTGTCCCCATGCTCATCTCATTGTCACCAAGTCTAGGACTTTCACTGCTTGAATTCCTGCTCAAGGGAGAGCATTTAGCTCCTGGTACATGATTACCCAGCCCTGCTTCAGTTTCCTGTTCATTTCATCCTTTAAAATTTGTCACATCCAAAATCAACAATGGAAATTGTATGTCACATGAACATCACCTCAACAAAGTATACTATCATTATTTTGCTTAGGAAAAAAATAAATCTTTAAGTACCCTTTTCTGTGAGTTGAACTCTATACCTTTTCTTCAATGTGAAAATGGTTGATCTCTTCTTCCAGTTCCATAGTTTGCTTATTATTTTTATTAGGATGAGCAGGTGCCCCATGGAGGGCCAGCCTGGAATCTTCCCTGCCATTATTGGGGCCAGAATTCCTGTTAGAGATTATAGGGAAATTTCCTCTTCTGTCTGTCTGTGTGTCTGTCTATACCTTGTGGCTTCTGCTTCCAATTTCCTCTTCTCTCACCTACCCCATGTTTTTCTCACTCCTACTGGAAATACAGAATGTAGTGGTCTGGGGGGAAATGTCCAGCTTGAGGTCTGCACCTAGTTTTGAGTGGAACCAGCTGAAGGAAGGCCAGGTGGGGATTGACTAGCACTACAGGTATCTTTCTCTTTCACCCCAGGGAAGAAGTCGCCTTATTGTCTGATCCTGGAATACTGAGACTCTCTGTAGCCAGGCATATGGTTACTGTGCTCTAGTGATACCTATGAATGAAAGGAAATGACAATATACAATCCCAAGGACAATATCATATCTTAAGGTTCTTTCAGAACTGCTTTTAGAGTACCAGGGAATCCCATGAGGGCGTCAGTGAGAGATATATGTTAAGGTATGGAGGTAAAATATACACTTGTTTACTTGAAGTACCACTATGAGAAGTAATGGAACATCAATTCTCCAAGTAGGTTAAGAGATGTAGATACTTGGGTGGATAACACATTTTAAGATGGGGTTCAACATTACTCATAGCTTGGAAAAGATCTTGGAACCAGAGAGGAACCACCTATATGTTTCTCAGAAATGTGCTAACTCTTCCTCTCAGCAACCTGAGAGTCATGGCTACATCCTCCTTCCTGACTCAGAGGCCACCTTCACTCTTGATCACCAGGTGTTCCTCGGGTGCCTTCAGAGTTTCATTATCACAGCTGGAGTGAAGATGGAGGAAACCATCCTCCTCAGTACTTCCTAAGAGCTCTGGAGCAGGAATTGCAGTTCCTGGAGAGTCCAGACCTTTGAGGGGCAGAGCCCATGGTCAGAGTCCGTGTTAGGTTCAGTATGGATGGTAAACAGACTCCCATGAACTCTCCTAGTCTGCAACAGTGTGGAGTTCAAGCTTCCAGGCTCCTGCACATATCTCTGATGTTCCTGGTGCAGTTGAGGGGCGGAGACTAGAAAAAATCACCAGCTTCCTAGAAGTGCAGAGAGACATGGTATGTGGCTACAGTGCAGATACAGGAACACTATCTCTCTTATCTCCTCTTCTCATGAAGCCCTACCTCTTGCCCTGTGCCTCTAAGAAGAGGAAGCTTCTGGTCCACATGGTACTGGGGGGGAATCCTGATGGGCTCAGCTTCCTCCTTCTCCATCATCCTATCTTGATCTATACCAGGTGTTCTGGCCCTGACAATCCAGGATAAGGCAACTTCCAGACTCTCAGGTCTCCATTTCTTGAACCTTAGAGGAGAGAGAAACAAGAAGTTCATTGGAGAGAAGATGTGGAGTCCAGACTGCACTGCCCTGCTCAGTGGGCTGATTCTAAGTAGAACATCAGTTACTGTCCCCAGCCCCTCCAGTTGTCACTCCCGATATTAAAGCTCCATTCTCCAGCTTCATTCTCCTCCTCTACCTGTGCTACCTCTAGTTGTACCCTTTGCCTTCCTCCTCCCTTCCAGGGCTCAGAGCACCAAATCTCTCTTCTCAGCTCTGAAAATCCATGCATCATTTCGTCTCAAATGCACGAGGAAGGGAAACACGACTATAAGGCAAATAATGGGCAGAGATGAAAAATTCTATATTGCAGAGATTTAACCAATTAAATAAGTCATGGAGCAGGCAGCATCTATCTGATGAAAGACAACTCCTAGTTAATTAATACATATGTCACATTTTTATAAATAAGAGCAAACGTCCTGTCTGATAACTTGTTGTCAAGAACTTTTCTTAAAAATAATTGACCCACATTATTGAGTGTGTGTGTGTGTGTGATTGAATATGGTCTGAGTGTGCCCTCCATGGATCACGTGTTAAAATTCAATACAAATTATGAGGTGTTAAGAGGATGGAAACTGAATTGACTAGTATTGAGATGTGGAGCTAATTAGGATTAGATAAATTCATCAGGATGGAACTCCGTGATTGATTCCTGGTAGACTTATATATAAACAGATGAGAGATGAGAGGGTAACCTCACATGGGCACTACACACACACACACACACACACACACACACACACGCCCACCATCTCCTGTGTGTTCACCTTTGCTGCCTTTGGGATACTGCCAGCAAGGCAATCAGCAGATGTTGCTTTTTAACCTTAGACCACCAGAACTGTGAGCAGAAATAAACTTCTTTTCTTATTAAGTAATCAGCTTCAGGTATTTCATTATAGTAATGAAAAGTAGACCACTCTGTTTACATGTGATCCTGCTTGCTACTGTGTATTGTTCTCAGCCATGTAACTGTATAAGTGTTCTACTATTTATCAATCTTGTTTTATGAGGAGGAACATTTGGTCTGATTCCAGTATGGGTCATTACTAATGAAGTTGAGATAACTGTTTGTACATGTGGTGGTAGGCAGGTAGAATAGGAAAATTCCCATTCAAAGGAGCAAGAAAACAGGCCAGCACCATATTCGACTACATTTTGCTAAACATCCTGTTCCACCCATGGCCCATAGTAACAGTTAGCTACCATTGAGGCTACTTCTGGCTATGGCAGACAATGGAATCTAGCAATGACACCAACAACGACTTTCCCAACTCCGGAGGTTATCCATGGCTCATTCACATCTTCTTATATTTTCAGATTCATGGACACACCTCCTCTCAAATCACCATCTTTGTTCTAAGGGCATCTTATTAGGTAAACCTCTCCCTATTCTCTGGTTCATGCATGTGCCCTGCCCTTCCAGTTTTGCAAAACTCCAAAATTATGTGCATATCCTCAGCTTAATCATTAAACCCTACACATCAATATGGCTAAGACCTAGGAGCTTGGGACACTGGACTGATGGGTCCCTGCCATCCTCAGGGTCTTATGTGTGTGTACTATTGCTTTATAAACACTTCTGCTTTAATACCATCTACCTTTTGCTTAAGTAAATCTTCTTGGTTGAAGACTCCTCTGTGTGTCCTCCCCTGATTTTTTTCCTCGGCAAAATCAATGACTTCCCATTCATCTCCCTTGACACTTGTTGGACATGGACAGGCTCCTTTGGACAAATGCCTAGGAGTGGCTTGCTGGATCATAGAGTAGGTGGTGTATAGCATTCCAGCTTTCCAAAGTGGGTGGTATTCATTTATATTCTCACCAGCAGTGTTGGAGAGTTCAGGTTCTCCTATATCCTGGTCAGTACTTGATATGTCAGTCTTTCCAACATTCATCATTCTGATGTGAGAAAATTCCTTGGTTTTAACTGTCCCTAGGAACTGTGGCATAGTGGTCAGAATTTGATTTTTATCTTTCCTCTGTGGGAACCACCACTTTGTGCATTCAGCTCATTTTCACATTTGTTCTATGGATTTTGTTACTTACATCTATGATATCAATCATTCCCATTTGCTTTATTAAGAAACTTGATTTAGAAGATTTAAATGTGTGTTTCCAGCAAAGATAAATTCTTGGCAAGCAGGTGGTAAAATACTAAAGGTCTCATTACTACTTTAGGTAATTGATATATCTGGGATACACTAAAATAATCTAACTATAATTTTACACACAAGTAGGTTGACTTTCTGAATTCTAAGTTGTTTTCATACTGAGAGTTGATTTTTAAGTTGTAAGGGTTTTTTATCTCCTTAGTGCACTTCTCAACTTTATTTGATTGTACTTAGGAGGCTAGTTGCCCACAACTATCATTTTTCTTTTAATCATTTCTATCACCTCTTCAATCATATCTGTCTAGGTTGTATATTCTGTTCCATTGCCTATTGGTCTATCTCTGTGTCAGTACACCACCATTTAGTTTTTTATTTCTTCCCTCTCTCCCTCCCCTCCTCTCCCTTCCCCCTCCCCTTTCCTTCCCTTCAATTCTTTCACTAGCACAGTTGATGAAATCCATGAACTTATTCATGCTAGGCAAGTATTCTACAACTGAGGTCAAACCCCAGCCACAATTTTCTTTAAGTTAAAATACCTTGGTATTTTAGTGTCCATTTTATTCATTTCACCTCTAATCTTTACTAATTTTTTTTCTGATATTTTTAGGATTGGCTTGTTCTTGTTTTCTAAAAGTTTGAGGTGCATAATTAGGTTATTTAATTCAAAGGTTTTGGTTTTTTAGTGTAGAAACATATAGTTACAATTTACTCTGAACCACTTTCATTGTATCCCAAGGTTCTAGTTTGTTGTGATTTTTATCTTCATTTGGCTCTATGACTTGAAAATACTTCCTTCTTGTTTCTTCAGTTGCCCACAGATCAGTCAAAAGTGTATTGTTCTGGCTTCTGTCTACAACTATACTCAGCACGTCCAAAGGTAAAGACTAGTTGATGAAAGAGCACAGAGCCGATTGTCTAAAGTTTGGTCAATAGAGAGTCTTGAAGAACAAATACCTATAAAATTTGGAACATTAAGCTGGGGGCTGGTGGCTTACACCTGTAATCCTAGCTACCCAGGGAGCAGAGATCAGGAGGATCGTGGTTTGAAACCAGCCTGGGAAAACAGCAAGAATCAGTCTCAAAAAAAAAAAAATCACGAAAAAAGGACTTGTGGAGTGGCTCGAGGGTAGAACACCTGCCTAACAAGAGTGAGTCCCTGAGTTCAAGCCCAGCACCACAAAAATAAATAAAAATAAAACATATAAATGTTTTCTTTGAGTAAGAAAACACATCACATAAAAATCACAATATCACAAGGGCCGAAAAATAACAAATGATACCGTTTAGAAAAATCACTTGCTATTTTTACTAATAGTGTACACCTATCTGGCACAGCGGCATGCTTTCCCCTCACGCCTCTGACTGATACTCTGCTCACTTGTGTATAAGAAAACACTTTTGTAATATAATTTTTATACATAGGATAGAAAGAGAAGTCAGACCTTTTCTGGCATATTTGTTTAAAATTCCATTGATCGGTCAAAAATGTTCTTTGCTGTCACAATTCATCTTCAGAAATACTTAGATAATTTTAAAGATCATTGTGAAATTTGGGAAAATTCTTCATTAAGTTCTGTCATCAAAGAGCAGTAAGGGTTTAGGCCATTACCACATGTTGCTAGGCTCCTGCCAGGGATTTGAACAGAGAGCCAGCAGTGCAGGGCCCTGAAGAGAGAGCTTCTGTTCCTTCATGGGGAAAATTGGCTCCTGCAGGCTTTTGGGTGCCCTGAAATTAGAGTTAGTTTCTCCCTTCAGAAACCTGTGTAGAGTGGGTGTGGGCCTCATGGCTGTCACCCAGAATCTCAGGTCCATGAAGACTCAAACTGGAGTGAACATACCAGGTTCTGAAAATACCCTCAGAGCATAAGTGCTTCAGCCCATCCCTGCCTTCTTCCCTCTACTAAATTCAATCTCAAAGGTCCTTTTCACTGATGAAATACCATGGCAAAACCCCTTTGAACAAGAAATAGATAACGAAATACAACAATGTAAGGCAGGTGGTGTGGAAAGAAATCACTCACTGTGGGTTTCAGTCTTGTCGCCTGCAGCCTCTGATGAAGTTGGGAGACAAGATTTCCCAACTCTACTTCAGCCTCCAAAGTTCACTGACAGCCAGCTTCCCCTTTGGTGGCTACCCACACTTCTCACAGCACACCAGCTTCCTGTCAGGCCTCCTCGGCCCCACCCACAGTCAGGGCACTCCTTCACTGCTAGATGGACTCTGGCTGTGGCAGGTGTGGGATGCTGGCCCTGCTGCTGCTGCCCCTGCTGTGGGCAGGTGAGTGGGCTGAGGGTGAAAGGGTGGGCAGAGGTGGTGGCTGCAGCTGAGCCTCTGTGTCCCCACAGGGTCCCTGCAGGTGAATCCAGGGTATGAGCTGAAAGTGGCAGAGTCGGTGACGGTGCAGGAAGGCCTGTGCATCCTGGTGCACTGCCACTTCTCCTACCCCTGGCCTAGGAGAAATTACTACACATCATCCCCACCCTACATCTACTGGTTCTTGGATGGGGACACAATCTATGATGAACCTGTGGCCACAAACAACCAAAACAGAGAAGTGAAGACTGAGACCAGGGACCGATTCCATCTCGTTCAGGACATCAGGAACAACAACTGTTCTCTGCACATCACAGACGCCAGGAAGGGGGACTCAGGACACTACGTCTTCCGAGTGGAAAGAGGATCGGATTGTAAAATATACTTACCGGGACAAGAAGCTGACTTTGAGGGTGACAGGTAGGCAGGGAGCACAGTAGAGGATGCTGGATTGTGCAGACTCCTGCAGACCATTCCCTGCACTGGTCTTGGGGTTGGGTGATCAGAAGGGATGTGGAACCTGGGCAAAGCTGGTGTCTGAGCCACTACCCACTCTCAGGGTCACACTGTGAGTCCCCACTCTCTTTGTCTGAGGCATCTCCCTGTTTCCTCTTCAGCCCTGACTGAGAAACCCGTCATCCACTTTCTGGAGCCCCTTCAATCTGGCCGCCTCAGCCAGCTGAGGTGCAGCGTGCCAGGGTCCTGCCAAGGGAGCACATCTCTCACCTTCTCCTGGAGAGGGAATGTCATCAAAATGATGGATCCCAGCACTCTTCAGACCTCAGAGCTCTCCCTCAGTCCACGTCCCCAGGACCACAACACCAGCCTCACCTGTCAGGTGAATCTCCATGATGTGACCACGGAGAGAACCATCTGGCTCAATGTCTCCTGTGAGTGCCGGAGGGGTGGCTGGGAGTCGTGTGAATGTATGTGTCTATGTGCATGCATGTGTGTGTGCGTGTGTGTGTGTGTGTGTGTGTGTGTGTGTGTGCCCGACAGAGTTCAAGAATGAGAATGTGAGAAAATCCATGTAAGGAGCTGAGCATTTGGAATCTGGTGGAGGAGTGAGTTAGAAGACAGCTTGCCCTCCTTCCTGGATTCCATGACACTCCTCGGTACCTCCCCAGACAATGCCCACCTTACTGGTCACCTCTGAAGCAGGGCCATGTCTCTCTATGCAGATGCTCCACAGAACCTCAGCATCAGCCACCTCAGAAATGGCACAGGTGAGAAATTCCCATCCTCTCCTAAGCTGTGATGGGAGCTCATTCAAGTGCAGGGATCAGACCATGGTGGTGGGTGGGACCTTCCGTCTCTCCTCAGTCCCTGCACTTAGGCTCTCCCACCCACCCCATCAACATGGTCAGCAATTGAGAGACCCACTACTGCTTTTACCTGATCCTTTTTCTTTTCTCTTCTCAACATTGCTTTCAAGATTATGCCTTATTTTGATAATGAACACATGTAAGATTTCTGTCAGCAATATTTACGAGGACAATGCACGAGTATGGTGTCCATATTCATGCTGTGAAGTCAATCTGCAGAGCTCTTATCATCCTGCAAAACTGAAACTTTGCACCCACTAAACACAACTTCCCAGTTCCCTGCCACACTCAGGCAAATGCCCTTCACTTTCTGACTCCATGGTTAGACTGCTTAGCTCACTGTGCCCTTCTCCTGAGTTCCTGTCTGCTCTCCAATACTCCTGTGCCTGCCTGCCCTCCCTCATGTCTTATTTGAGGATTTTTTTCTGGGGCCTTCCAATGGTCCCCCTCGGGACTGTCCTTTCTTTTCACTCTACTGTTTAGGATGCTCCTACCCTCATGACTTCCATGAGTCTGTATCCAGCTCTTTTCTGGGTCTGCACAGTTACCCTCCAATTCTGATTTCTGTCCACCACCTGACTGACACCACAACTTACCTGGTCAATGCTCTATATAGCTGCCTTTCTCACCAGTTGAGCCCTGAATCTGCATGTTTGAGACTTTCACTTCTCAGATCCTTTCCCTCCATTCCTTCTCCTTGATTCCAGAAACAGCCCAGGTCTTGTCCTCAAACCTGGACCAATGCTTCAGCTTCCTCCACAGCATCCTTGCCTCCTGTCCAGTCTCTCACTCCATGCCCTCCACGGCCCCAGCAGGATCTTTGTAGATCCACAGATGCTCCTGTGACTCTTCTACTCACAGCAACCTACTGATTTACAGAGACCATAGGCAAAGGATTCTGATACTCAAGCCTCCAGAAGTGTCTCTCTACCTACTTTCCCAGTGTCAAAGTGTTTCTGAGCACCTGGTTCTCATGGTCAGGTTGCAGATATGTTCCTTTTATGCTCTCTCCCCAGTTGCCCTCCTATATCTGCTTAATATGAGGCACATCTTATTTCCAGCACATCTCATTTAAGCTCATTCCAGTCTTTCATACAGCCTGATTCCATGGTATCACCCCTCCAGCTATGATTAATCCAGTCTCTGCACTTGCCACCAGGTCTCATCTTCCTGTTTGTGCTCATTGGGGGTGGGGAGGGGAGCTAGGGAGAGACAGACCTTCCTCCTTCACCTGCCTTTCTGTGTGTTTTTTCCCCAGCCCCACAGACCATGAGCAGTGGCATGTCACTTCCTGTCGTGGAAGGCCAGTCCCTGAGTCTGATCTGTGTGGCTGACAGCAACCCCCATGCTTCACTGAGCTGGTCCAGGAACAGAAAAGCCCTGGATACTTCCCAGGTGTCAGCATCTGGGGTCCTAGAGCTGCCTCATGTAAGGACCGAAGATGATGGGGAATTCACCTGCCATGCTCAGAACCCTCTGGGCTCCCAGCATCTTTCTGTGAGCCTGTCTGTGCAGAGTGAGTATCAGGACAGGTGCTGGGGTGTCAGCCTAGCTGGGATTGGGATGTAACTGGGTCTAAGGTCTGTGGATGTAAGGTCTTCCTGTCCTCCTTCCTAGAAAGTCCCTCTTCCAGCCTAGACAGCTTTTTAGTATGTGGCCAAATCCTGGGGGTGAAAGTTCACCTGATCTCTTTCCTAGGATGCCCTTCTTCCTGCCCATGTGCATCTGAGAAGCAGGAGGGATCCTGGCCCCTGGTCCTCACACTAATTAGGGGATCTCTCATGGGAGCTGGCTTCCTGATTACCTATGGCCTCACCTGGGTCTACTACACCAGGTGAGCAGGCCTGACACTCTCCAGGGAGGGACAGTGATGGAAACCCAGGTTCCATGTGGGGCTGACTTTTGCTTGTGCTTGGAGTTAAAGTGGTCTTCTGTGACCTGAAACCCTTGTTGGTCTGCAGGTGTGGAGGAGCCCAGAGGCAAGACTGAGAGACATCTCTGAGCCCTTTCCCTCTACTCAGGACTGAGATGTGGACACTGAACCCAGAAAGATACTGCTGTCAGATTCTCCCTGGAACTCTCTACTCAAAGTCTACTGCCTGTCTCTGTCATCCCATGCCCACCATTGCTGGTGTATATAAATTACATAAAATATGGTACCTTGTTGTGGGACCCAAATTTGAGTAAGGCAATTTATAGTTATCAGTCCATGTTCTCTTCCTTCATTAAACTCTCCTATGGAGCTTTTGCCATGGCCCAATAAACTTCCTGCATCTCTAATCCTAGCATCTGCTCAAACATGGCCTGAATTTTGTTACCAAGCCCTGCACTCCCTGTTCAATTGGGATTAAAATGACTGTGATGGGTTGATGTCTTCCAAGGTGGGAATACAGGATTTTAGATTTTATGAAACAGAAAGACCCCAATTCTGATTCTATTCAAATGTTTATATTCATACAAGGTGACCTGATATCCCATAACAAAGGACTCCAAACTGCCACCAACCATAATGTGAAAGAGTGTTCCTGAGTAAAAGGGGGAGATTGTCATATGCTATCTAATGTCCCTTACCCCAAAAAGAGAATAGAATTATTTTCTTGTATTTCTGTAGCATTGACACTAGTGTATTTGGTGTAACACCTTTCCTTTTTGGTGTTTTGGGGAGTAGGCGAGAAAGACCCTTCAGGACAGGAAGTAGGTCAAGTTGGATGCCAGACATCATGCTGCAAAGTGTTACCATCCCTCCCCAACAGAGAAAGGCTTCCACTGGGTGTCTCTCTGTCCCCATGCTGATGGGCCTAGGGAACATCATCCCTTAAGTCCTCATCTCATTGTGACTGAGTCTTGCACTGTACTCTCTCATCCACCAGAGGGTGTATGTAGGGCTCAGTAAGTGATGATCATGACCACCTAAGACATTTTCTCAGAAAGGTGCTACCTCCTCCTCTCAGCAACCTGAGACTCATGACTATATTCTCCCTCCTTATCTCATAGGTCACCTTTTCTCCTGGTCTTCAGGTGCTCTGCACGTGCCTTCAGGACTTCACTATTGGAGATGGAAGAAACATGGAGGAATGATCCTCTTCAGCATGGCCAACAGTGCTGGAGGAGGAGGCCTGGGTCCTGAGGAGTCCACAGCTTAGAATGGTCTGGGCATAGCTCTGGTATAGGCTACCATGGCCATACCAGGTACAGCAGTTGGAGCAGTGTGAGTGATCAGAAGATTCCTATGGACTCTTCTAGTCCACAACAGGGTAGAGCTCAAGCCCCTGGGCTCCTGCACATCTACCTGATGGTATTGGTGCAGTTGAGAGTGGGGATTTGAGAAAAAAAATCTCATTCTTATAACTGTGGGATTGTACCAGTATGTATTGATCTTGTTTCATGGAGATAAACCTTTGAGCTGATTTCAATATGAGCCACTGAATAAAGTTTGAATAATATTTTTATACATGTTGTTGTGATAGTGAGTAGGCACATAGAAAGGTAAAACACAACAGAAAAGAGCAAGTCAGCACCAGATCCATATACATTTTGCCAAACATCCTGCTTCACCATAGCCCTAGGGTGATGGTTGGCTACTGTTGAGGCTACTTGTTGACATCCAGGCCAATGGAATTGAGCAATAATTCCAGCAGTGACTTTCTGGCCTCTAGGTTATCCAGAGACCTCATCTCAATACACCTGCAGATTCATTCATGCACCTCCCCTCACGTTGCCATCTTGGCTCTGAAGTCACCTTATTAAGTAAACCACTCCCCATTCCCTGGATCTTCAAAATGCCCTGCTATGTTTTGCAAAACTCACAATTATATACATACCCTTAGCATCATCATTAAAGTCTGTCCATCACAATCCCTAAGACCTGGAAGCTCAAGTAACTTGACTGCTTGGTTAAGCTGCCACCCTCAGTGTCCCATGTGTGTGAACTGTTGCTTTATTAACACTTCTACTTTAATTCCATCTAGGTTTCACTTAAATAAATCTTCTCAGTAGAATACTGCTCTGTTTTTCTTCCGTTGAATGCATTTTGTTCATGATCAAGGGCTTGTAATTGATCTCCCTCAACTTTGGTGGATGTGGGCATACATTTTTGGACAAATGCCTAGGAGTGGCTTTCTTGTTTCTTCATTAGGTGGTGTATAGCATTTGCAGAAACTGTCATTCAGTTTTAAAGTGGTGATATTCATTTATATTCCCATTAGTGCCATGGGAGAATTCTGGTTCTTCTACAGCCTTGCCAACACTTGATACGTCAGTCATTTAAAAATTCTCAATTCTGATATGTTAAAACCAAAGTGCCTTGGTTTCAACTATCCTTAGGAACTCTGCTGCATTGGATGATTTCTATCTTTCCTCTGTGGGAACCACTGCTTTGTGCTTTCAGATCATTAAATTTGTTTTGTGCATTCTTGAACTTACATCTATGATTTCAATTTGACTCCATCATTCCCATTCAATTTATTAAGAAACATGTTTTAACAGGGTAATGGATCAAGTGATGGAGCACTTGCCTCACAAGTGTGAGGCCCTCAGTCCAAACCCCACTACCATCAAAACAAAAAAGGAAAGAAAAGAAATGTATTTTAGAAGACTCAAATGTGTTTCCAGCAATGGTTAAAATTTTAGGGCAGCAGATGGTAAAATATAAATGCTCTCACAGGTAGTTTAGGTAACTGATACACCTGGGATACACTAAGGTAATGTAACATTAGCTTTCACATGTATAGGTTGACTTTCCGAGTTCTAAGTGTTGTGTTCATAGTTAAAGTGGACTTTAAGATGGCGAGAGTTGCCTTCTCTCATCAGTGATCTTCCCAGCGTCATGTGATTGCACTTAGAAGGTTGGTTGCCCACAACCATCACTGCAAAGTCTGTTTCTTTTTACCATTTCTATCACTTCTTCAATCACATCTGATGTTTCCTGTGATTAATGCCTATTTCTAGGATGTCTATTCTGCTCCACAGGCCTATTGGTCTATTTTTCTATCTTGGTATCAATTCACCATCATCTATTTTGCTTCCTTCCTTCCTCCCTTCCTTCTCCTCCTCTTCTTTTTTCTTATTATTCTCAATCTCTCTCTCTCTCTCTCTCTCTCTCTCTCTCTCTCTCTCTCTCTCTCTCTCTCTCTCTCTCTCTCTCTCTCCCTCTTCATTTCTTTCTTTTTGTGGCTGAGCAGATGAAACCCATGACTTTATGCATGCTGGGATAGTTTTCTCTCACTAAGTTCAATACCCAGCCATACTTTTCCACTTTTAGTTGTATTCCAGCTATGATATTTATTATGTCTTTCCTTCTTCTAATTTTGGGATTGGCGTGTTCTGGTTTTTCTAACACTTGAGATTTAACTTTTTAGGTGGTTTATTTGATGTCTCTCTGGTTTTTGTATTATAGACAAGCATAGTTACAAACGAACGTCCTTCTTAGATGTGCTTCCATTGTTTCCCACAGGTATGCCTTGATTTCATTTTCATTTGATTCTAAGACTTTTAAATTTTTCTCCCTTATTTCTTCTATGACCAATGGATCAGTCAAAAGTACACTGTTCAGGCTTTATTCTGCAACTGTACTGAGCAGGTCCCAAACCAAGGCCTTGTTGACAAAAGTGTACAGAAAAAACTATCTAAAGTTTGGTCTATGAGAGACTCTTTGTCACTCTTCATGAAAAAACTTCAAATGTTGTCACATAGAAGGTTTTCTGAGCAAGCAAACATATCACATGAAAATCACAAGTGCTGAAAAATAACAAATATGAGACTTTTAGAAAATGACATGTTCTTCTTCATAGTTTAGGATACCTTTCTGTCACACCTGCATATTTCTCCTCCTGCTTCTGATGATACTCAGCTTACCTTCATATAGGATATCCCTTTTGGAATATCATTTTTATACGTAGAGAGTGATGTCAGTGTTCTTTTCTGGCATGGTTGTTGAAATTTCTTTTGCTCACTAATAGCTCGAAAACTTTCTTTGCTATCAGCATTCATTCAGAAATCTTAAAATTGTTTAAAGATCATTATTAAATTTGTAACATTCTTTTATCAAATTCAAAAAAAGCTGGCGGTATCACAATACCCAAGTTCACATTAGTGCAACAGAATAGAAGACCAAACACTAATCCACAAAGCTACAGTCAACTTGTTTTTGACAAAGGTGCCCAAAACATAGGTTGGAGAAAAGACAGCCTCTTTATTTTATTTTATTTTTATTTTGTGGAATAATCTTTTTTTATTGTTTTATTATTCATATGTGCATACAAGGCTTGGGTCATTTCTCCCCCCTACTCCTAGCCCCCCCTTACCACCCACTCCACCCCCTCCCTCTCCCCCCACCCCGTTGATACCCAGCAGAAACTATTTTGCCCTTGTCTCTAATTTTGTTGAAGAGAGAGTATAAGCAATAATAGAAAGGAACAAGGGTTTTTGCTAGTTGAGATAAGAATAGCTATACAGGGAGTTAACGCACATTAATTTCCTGTGCGTGTGTGTTACCTTCTAGGTTAATTCTTTTTGATCTCACCTTTTCTCTAGTTCCTGGTCCCCTTTACCTATTTGCTTCAGTTGCTTTTAAGGTATCTGCTTTAGTTTCTCTGCGTTAAGGGCAACAAATGCCAGCTAGTTTTTTAGGTGTCTTACCTATCCTCACCCCTCCCTTGTGTGCTCTCACTTTTATCATGTGCTCAAAGTCCAATCCCATTGTTGTGTTTGCCCTTGATCTAATGTCCACATATAAGGGAGAACATACGATTTTTGGTCTTTTGGGCCAGGCTAACCTCACTCAGAATGATGTTCTCCAATTCCATCCATTTACCAGCGAATGATAACATTTCGTTCTTCTTCACGGCTGCATAAAATTCCATTGTGTATAGATACCACATTTTCTTAATCCATTCGTCAGTGGTGGGGCATCTTGGCTGTTTCCATAACTTGGCTATTGTGAATAGTGCCACAATAAACATGGGTGTGCAGGTGCCTCTGAGTAACCTGTGTCATGGTCTTTTTGGTATATCCCCAAGAGTGTTATTGCTGGATCAAATGGTAGATCAATGTTTAGCTTTTTAAGTAGCCTCCAAATGTTTTTCCAGAGTGGTTGTACTAGTTTACATTCCCACCAACAGTGTAAGAGGGTTCCTTTTCCCCTGCATCCTCGCCAACACCTGTTGTTGGTGGTGTTGCTTGCTATGATGGCTATTCTAACAGGGTGAGGTGGAATCTTAGTGTGGTTTTAATTTGCATTTCCTTTATTGCTAGAGATGGTGAGCATTTTTTCATGTGTATTTGGCCATTTGAATTTCTTCTTTTGAGAAACTTCTGTTTCGTTCACTTGCCCATTTCTTTATTGGTTCATTAGTTTTGTGAGAATTTAGTTTTTTAAGTTCCTTATATATTCTGGTTATCAGTCCTTTGTCTGATGTGTAGCTGGCAAATATTTCTCCCACTCTGTGGTTGTTTCTCTTCAGTTTAAGAGACCATTTCTTTTGATGAACAGAAGCTTTTTAGTTTTATGAGGTCCCATTTATCTATGCTATCTCTTAGTTGCTGTGCTGCTGGGGTTTCGTTGAGAAAGTTCCTACCTATACCTACTAACTCCAGAGTATTTCCTACTCTTTCCTTTATCAACTTTAGAGTTTGTGGTCTGATATTAAGATCCTTGAATCCATTTTGAGTTAATATTGTGTAGAGGGCGTGATATACATGGATCTAGTTTTCAGTTTTTTGCAGGCTGCTAACCGTTTTCCCAGCAGTTTTTGTTGAAGAGGCTTGCTATTTCTCCATCGTAATATTTTTAGCTCCTTTGTCAAAGACAAGTTGGTTATAGTTGTGTGGCTTCATATCTGGGTCCTCTATTCTGTTTCACTGGTCTTCATGTCTGTTTTTGTGCTAGTACCATGCTGTTTTTGTTGGTATTGCTTTGTAATATAGTTTTGAAGTCAGTATTGTGATACCTCCTGCACTGTTCTTTTTGATCTGAGTATGCCTTGGCTATTTTGTGGCCTCTTTGGTGTTTCCATATAAATTCTCACAGTAGATTTTTCTATCTCTTTAATGAATGTCATTGGAATTTTTGATGGGAATTGAATTAAACATGTAGATTCTTTGGGAGTATCACATTTTACTATGTTGATTCTACCAATTCCATGAGCATGGGAGATCTCTCCACTTTCTATAGTCTTCCTCAATCTCTTCTTCAGAAGTGTATAGTTTTCCTTGTAGAGGTCTTTCACATCTTTTTGTAGGTTTACACCTAGGTATTTGATTTTTTTTGATGCTATTGTAAATGGAATTGTTTTTCATTCTTTTTCAGTTTGTTCATTGTTAGTGTATAGAAATGCTAATGGTTCTTCTATGTTGATTTTATATCCTGCTACCTTGCTATAGCTATTGATGATGTCTAGAAGCTTCTGAGTAGAGTTTTTTTGGGTCTTTTAAGGTATAGGATCATGTCATTTGCAAATAGGGATATTTTGACAGTTTCTTTACCTATTATATTCCTTTTATTCCTTCTTCTTGCCTAATTGCTCTGGCTAGGAATTCCAGTACTATGTTGAATTGGAGTGGAGATAGTGGGCATCCGTGTCTGTTCCTGATTTAGAGGGAATGGTTTCAGTTTTTCTCCATTAAGTATAATGCTGGCTGTAGGTTTGTCATATATAGCTTTTATAATGTTGAGGTACTTTCCTTCTATTCCTAGTTTTCTTAGAGCTTTTATCATGAAATGGTGTTGGATCTTATCAAAGGCTTTTTCTGCATCTATTGAGATGATCAAGTGGTTTTTGTCTTTGCTTCTGTTAATGTTGGTTTATTACGTTATTGATTTTCGTTGTTGACCACCCCTGCATCCCTGGATGAGCAAATACTTGGTCGTGGTGAATGATCTTTTTGATGTGTTGTTGAATTCGGTTTGCCATTATTTTGTTGAGGATTTCTGCATCAATGTTCGTTAAGGAGATTGGCCTATAGTTCTCCTTTTTGGAGGAAGACAGCCTCTTTACCAAGTGCTGCCGGGAAAACTGAATATCTCCATGTAAAATACATGCAGTACATGCAGGTCTTGCACTCTGTACTGACATCAGTTCAAAGTGAATCAATGGCCTTAATGTAAGGCCTGAAATTTTGAAATAATGCAGGAAAGACTACACAGGGACATATGGGCATCACAGTAACTTCCTAAATTGAGCTCCAATGGCTCAGTAATTAAGAGAAAGGATTGATAAACACAACTACATGAAACTAAGAGCTGCACAGCAAAGGAGATGGTCATCAGACTGAAGAGGCAGCCTACAGAATGGAGAAAGTCTTTGCCAGTTGTCCTTCAGATAAGGGATTAACAACCAGAATTTACAGGCAGCTGAGAAAGCTAAACCCCAAAGAATCAACAAAGCAATGAAGGAATGTGCAAGTGAACTGAAGAGAAGTTTTTTAAAGGGAGAAGTGCAGATGGCCAAACAACACATGAAGAAAGGCTCAAAGTCCCTGACCATAAAGAAAATGCAAATCAAAGCAGCATTGTGATGAGATTCCACCTCACTCTAGTCAGAGTAGCCATCAGCAGGGACACAAACAACACAAATGATTGGCCATGATGCAGGGTGAAAGGAACCCTCATACACTGTTGTGGGGAATGTAAATTAGTACACCTACTATGGAAAACAGTATGGAGGCTCCTCAAAAATAGAACTATCATATGATCCAGAAATATCACTCCTAGATCTATACCTGAAGGAATATAAATCAAGATGCAATAAAGACATTTGCATACCCCCGTTTATTGCAGCACTATTCACAATAGCCAAGCTATGGAAAGACCCCAGATTCCTTACAAGTGATATATGTATGTATTACTATTCAATTGAATATTATTCAGTCATAAAGAAGAATGAAATTGTGTGTTTTGCAGGTAAAATGGATGGAAATGGAGATCATCTTGTTAAGCCAAGTAAGCCAGGTTCAGAAAGACAAAGGTCACTCATTTTCTCTCACATGTGGACGACAGATTCAAAATAAGAGTGTATACGCAAATACAAACATGATTGTATATATACTATATATATAATATTTTTATATACATGTTTTCAATAGTGGGACTGTTTGAGGAGACTAGGGAAAGGAGGGGGAAGGAAGAGAATGATAGACACTGAATAATATTGAAATACATTGTATCTGTGTAGACAGAAGGCATAAGATCCAATGAGGCTATTGAATGATAGGGGATGGGGGAAAGGTGAAAGGGTAAGGAAGAGTACTAGAGGGGGTTAACTGAATAAAGTAAAATACATTTACTGATGAAATACCATGGCAAAACCCCTTTGAACAAGAAATAGATAATGAAACACAGAATATAAGACAGATGGTGTGGAGAGAAATTGCTCACTGTGGGTTTCAGTCTTGTCGCCTGCAGCCTCTGATGAAGTTGGGAGACAAGATTTCCCAACTCTACTTCAGCCTCCAAAGTTCACTGACAGCCAGCTTCTCCTTTGGTGGCTACCCACACTTCTCACAGCACACCAGCTTCCTGTCAGGCCTCCTCGGCCCCACCCACAGTCAGGGCACTCCTTCACTGCTAGATGGACTCTGGCTGTGGCAGGTGTGGGATGCTGGCCCTGCTGCTGCTGCCCCTGCTGTGGGCAGGTGAGTGGGCTGAGGGTGAAAGGGTGGGCAGAGGTGGTGGCTGCAGCTGAGCCTCTGTGTCCCCACAGGGTCCCTGCAGGTGAATCCAGGGTATGAGCTGAAAGTGGCAGAGTCGGTGACGGTGCAGGAAGGCCTGTGCATCCTGGTGCACTGCCACTTCTCCTACCCCTGGCCTAGGAGAAATTACTACACATCATCCCCACCCTACATCTACTGGTTCTTGGATGGGGACACAATCTATGATGAACCTGTGGCCACAAACAACCAAAACAGAGAAGTGAAGACTGAGACCAGGGACCGATTCCATCTCGTTCAGGACATCAGGAACAACAACTGTTCTCTGCACATCACAGACGCCAGGAAGGGGGACTCAGGACACTACGTCTTCCGAGTGGAAAGAGGATCGGATGTAAAATATACTTACCGGGACAAGAAGCTGACTTTGAGGGTGACAGGTAGGCAGGGAGCACAGTAGAGGATGCTGGATTGTGCAGACTCCTGCAGACCATTCCCTGCACTGGTCTTGGGGTTGGGTGATCAGAAGGGATGTGGAACCTGGGCAAAGCTGGTGTCTGAGCCACTACCCACTCTCAGGGTCACACTGTGAGTCCCCACTCTCTTTGTCTGAGGCATCTCCCTGTTTCCTCTTCAGCCCTGACTGAGAAACCCGTCATCCACTTTCTGGAGCCCCTTCAATCTGGCCGCCTCAGCCAGCTGAGGTGCAGCGTGCCAGGGTCCTGCCAAGGGAGCACATCTCTCACCTTCTCCTGGAGAGGGAATGTCATCAAAATGATGGATCCCAGCACTCTTCAGACCTCAGAGCTCTCCCTCAGTCCACGTCCCCAGGACCACAACACCAGCCTCACCTGTCAGGTGAATCTCCATGATGTGACCACGGAGAGAACCATCTGGCTCAATGTCTCCTGTGAGTGCCGGAGGGGTGGCTGGGAGTCGTGTGAATGTATGTGTCTATGTGCATGCATGTGTGTGTGTGCGTGTGTGTGTGTGTGTGTGTGTGCCTGACAGAGTTCAAGAATGAGAATGTGAGAAAATACATGTAAGGAGCTGAGCATTTGGAATCTGGTGGAGGAGTGAGTTAGAAGACAGCTTGCCCTCCTTCCTGGATTCCATGACACTCGGTACCTCCCCAGACAATGCCCACCTCACTGCTCTTCTCTGAATAGGGCCATGTCTCTCTATGCAGATGCTCCACAGAACCTCAGCATCAGTCACCTTAGAAATGGCACAGGTAAGCAAAACACCTGCACTTTCCGTGGTTGGAACCACTTGTGATTAGACGTGGGAAATCAGAATGTGAATTAATCACATACAAGATAAAGAATGACAATTATCCTTTCTTGTCCTAACCTTCTGTGGGCTCCATATACACACTCCTGTGCACACAGACACAAATGTATGCTCACACAGACACTCGTTGCTGCTAAAGCTGTGAGCAAACTTTGCACCATCCCATCCCCCATCCTTCCCTTGTACCAGTCCTTACCACAGTCATCAAGACCAAATTCCTGCCCTTCTCACCTGTCCACAGCTCAGCTCTGTGGTCCCCCTGTCTTTCTGCTGCAGCCTCCTTAGTCTCATTTTCTCCTTCATTGACTGAACCTATTTTCCAAAGCTATCAAAGGCAGTTTTCTTTCTGCCACCCAGCCTAGCCATGTCTCAGTGAGATATTGAGCCTCCTCTGAAGCTATGGTGTCCAGAGGTTTTCAGTTAATGTCCTGAGAGTATAAATGGCCAGACTTTGAGAACTAAGGGGAACCAAGAAAGGTTGGGCCAAGGGAGAAGTAGACAGGGTGGGTCAATCAGACCCTGGGAGGAGGAGTTGGGGAAATGAGGACCACCTACTGCTCTTCCTCCCCTCCCCCTTCCCCTTCTCCTGTCCTCCTCTTCCTCCTCCTTCTTCTTTCTCCTTGTCCTTCTTCTCCTTCTTCTTCCTCCTCCTCTTCCTCCTTCTTCTCCACCTCGGTCCTCTCACTGTCCCCTCTTACTCTTTCCCCCTAAAATCTCTCTTTGCCACTCTTTCCCAAAGGTCCCAAGATGCTTCAAAATACATCACTACTGACCATCCAGGAAGGCCATGCTCTGCAGCTGCAATGTGTTGTGGACAGCAACCCCCCTGCAAAACTGAGCTGGTTCCGGGGTTCTTCCACCCTGAACTCCTCCATCTCCAATTCTGGGATCCTGAAGCTGTCTCCTTCACGGATTGAAGATGAAGGAAAAATCACCTGCCACGCTCAGAATGCACTGGGCAACCAAACTGTGTCTTTGAATCTCTCTGTGCTCTGTGAGTGTGGGGATCCTAGAGACAGAAACCAGTGTCTTGGAGAGAGAAACCTACTGACCATTTTCCTCCCTCCCAACAGATGACCTCCAGCTCCTGGGCCCTTCCTGCTCCTGGGATGCTGAGGATCTGCACTGCAACTGCTCCTCCAGAGCCTGGCCACCCCCCTCCCTGCACTGGCGTCTTGGGGAAGTATTGCTGGAGGGGAACAGTAGCAATGCCTCCTTCACAGTCACCTCCAATTCAGCTGGCCCCTGGGCCAACAGCTCTTTGAGATTGCACAGGGAGCTCAGCCCTGGCATGAAGCTCCACTGTGAGGCTCAGAATGTCCGAAGGGCCCACAGTGTCACCGTTCTCCTGCTGCCAGGTCAGAGGGCCTGTTGTGGAAGAAGACAGGGCAGGCCTGGGGAGGCACATGGATCTCAAATGGATGAATGCGGGGAGAGAGGAGCTGAGGTCCAGAGAGGAGCTGGCTTGGAAGGACAGGGTCCTCTGTTTCCTGGCTAGAGTAAGTTCCCAAGGAAGAGAAGAGATGGAGTGCTCAGACTGAGTACTCTCATCATCCCTTTCTTCTCTGCAGGGAAATCAGTTTCCAGGCCAGGATCCTTGCAGGTTCTTTCAGCCCTCGGAGGTGCCGGCACCATGGCCCTGCTCTGTCTATGTATGTGCCTCATCTTCATTTGCATGTAAGTCTTGGTCCCAGGGGAAGTGTTAATACAGTCAGATCTTTCAGATGAAGAGCTCTCCTTCCCACCATTAGGGGAAACACAAGAGAGAAGTAATTTTGTTACTTAAAGGTCAGGGAGAGCACAGCATACCCAGAGACCACACATGCAATGTCAGGGAAAACATGGCGGGGGCAATGCTCTATGGGCCAATGCCTATATTAGAGTCCATGGTGTTATCCAAACAGTTTTACAGCAGGGAGTTTTGGTCAATGGGTTTAAAACAGGCACAATCTTCAAGAAGTGGTCAGTGTGGATGATCTGCACAATCCATGCAAGGTCTGGGGTCAGCAGGGTCACTTAGGCCATATGTAGCTGTTCCATTGCGAAGTGGTGACCAGGAAGAAGTCATATGAGGTGGATATATAGATGGAACACAGTGAGGAACTGGGAGGAAGTGAAGAACTGGAAACTGGGTCTGGAGGGGGAGAAGGCAAGCCATGCTTCTGATATGGGAGAGTCCAGTAGGTTCAACATAGATGCCCAGGCCATGTGAAAGGGTAGGAATTCGCTGTGGAAAGTACAGGGAGGTGTGTGCAGAAGGGAGGAGAGAAGTAGTGAATCCCAGAAATGAAGAGCTAAATAGATCCAGAGTGGTTTTTTCTTTCATTTTCCTAACAGCTTTATTGAGAAATGCTGCACAAACCATACAGCGGTCTCTCTCTCTCTTTATCTATTCATCTTCCTATTTATCTCAATCTCTCTATCTCCATCTATATCTATCCCTATCTATCTATCTATCATCTATTATCTATCTACTCATCTTCCTATATACCTCTATCTTCTCTTTTGATGTTTTCTATAGGAAACAAATAGCTTTTTATTAACAGAAAGTGCATAACTCAAAGACTTGAACAGTCATTGAATGTCATGCATGTATCACAATAACCAATTTCAGAACTCTTTCATTAGCTCAAAATGGAAAAAAAAAAACCACATGTCTTTTAGCTGCCATGTTCCCTATTATCCTTCAGCCCTAATCTATTATCTGTCTTTTCTAGATTTGCTTATTCTAGACATTGCATGTAAATGAAATCACGCAATTTGTGGTCCTTTGCATCTGAGGTCTGTCACTTTCCATCATGTTTTCAAGGCTCATCCACATGGTAGCACATATTAGTGCTTTATTCTGGGTTTTTTTCTATTCCATTGTGTGGATGAAGTGTATTTTATTTTTCCATTCACCTATGTGTGTTGTGTGCCCTTTTTGGATACTGTGAATAACATTATAGTGATCATCTGTGTACAAGCATTGGTGTTTAAGAAGGGTCTTTAGTGATGGAAATTCAATCTTAGGCCACCTTGGCCAAAGCCCTGGCTATTCAGGAGGATGGAGTCACTGCCCACATGCCAAGCAGGCCTCTGTGTCAAGTTCCAAGGCCTGGAGACCTCAACCATCAGCTTTACCACCTTAACAGGGGCAGAGGCAGCTTGCTGTCTTGTGCCTGAGCCCTCCTGGCTGCCATGTGCTATTCCTTTCCATTAGAGTGAAGGTCCATCGGCATCAAGCAGCTGTGAGATCAAAGGGTATGGATGATGAAGACCCTGTCATGGATTCAGTCCCCTGGGTGAGTGATGTTGGCATCTTGCCATGTATGGAGCGGTTGGGGGCGGGGGGGGCGCGGCACACATGTCAATTTGGTGGGTACAGACTGAAATCCTAAGCATCTCCCTAATCACTTGGTCAACACCTGTGAGTTGCCTTCTCCACGCCCCCTCCTTCCACCTTCATCTCTGAGAGTCAGTAGATCACTGTGCCCAGTTCTACCTTCTTTCTTAGTAAAGCTCACTGTCCCTTGGTTCATCTTCCTGCCCTGCTTCAGCTTGTCACTGACTTGACTTCACCGCCTTCCTTTCACCTTTCACCCTGGACCCAGGCTATCATCAGAACCATCTTCCCAAAATGATTACTTTCCAGCCAACCTAGAAATGTTGTTTGATCCCACTGCTTAGGGAATCTGGTAACTGTCCTTGACCCGCCATCCAATGGCCATCCCAGCCTGTTTCCCACCCTCTGGTCTTGTGTTGTAGTCCAGACACACTGGTCTCACCATTTTTATACAGACCTACCCTCTTGTAGCTTCAGCCTTTGCATGCACAGTTCCTTCCACATGAAATGCCCTTTCCCCCCTTTTCTACCAGAATGCCTTTGTCTAATGTTTCTAGATGTAATTTCATGAGCTCCCCTGGGAAAACAGTCATTCCCATCCCGATTGGCATTTATCCCTCCTTCCTCCACGTTCCCACAGCCCCACATGCATCCCTGTCTTGAGGGCTCACTACATATCATCACTGCATTTGTCTACCTCAAACCCCTCACTGTGTTTGAGCTATTTTTGGATATATTGACATTTGAACTCAGGGCTTTGCACTTTCTAGGCAAGTGCTCTACCACTTGAGCAACTCCACCAGCCCCCTGCATTGCATTTGTAAAGTTCTTGTGGACTGTACCTGGCTCTTCTTCAGCCACTGTTGTCTCTTTCACTCTGTTTCTGGCAGCATGTCCTTTTTCCCCTTTTATAAAGTTGGGCTCATGATAACTTGAATAGGATTATCCATGGTGCTTGGTTCCTAATCAGACCTTTAGCCCTGAAACACATACTTTTTTCACCTTTACTTACCACTTTCATTCATGTTATGATTAAAAATGCCTGTGAACTCATCGTCCAACCTGAGATTACTTACATGTTACATCTATCTGCGTCATTCTTTGGTCCATCCTTAGTGACCATTGTTCTGAATTTTGTCTTCCTAGAGGTAGCATATATGAACTATACTCTATTTAGTTTTACTTGCTTCTGAACCTATAAAGGGTATCCTGATCCGTGCATTCCCTTTGGACTTGCTTTTTAACTCAAGCTATATGATGAAGTTTTATGACGGTACTGATTGTAACTTACTCCTTTTCCCCACTGCATAACATTTTATTTTTGACTTTGTCTATTATCTAAGCTAATACCAATAGACATTTAAGTTGTTTTGAGATTGTGGACATTCCACTTTAGCAGTAACACATCACTGTGCTGGGGTTGTGGATCAAGTGGTAGAGCACCTGCCTAGCAAGGGCACAGGCTCTGAGTTCAAGGCCCAATACTGCCCAAAAGAACAAAAAAAACAAGGTCATGACAAATACTTTTCCAAAGTAGTCACATCCATTTACATCATCTATGCCTATGTGATCCCATTGATCCACAATCTTTCCAGCACTTGGCTTTTATCAGTTATCTCAATTTTTTGTCATCTCACTATTTCACTATGGTGTTGACTTGCAGTTCCCTGGTTACCATGAGGATAAAAAAATCCTCTCTGTTTACACTGGCATATGTGCACTTTCTTTGTAAAATGCATAGCCATAACTGGACCCCAATTTCCTATTGGATGTTGGATCTTTTTTGTATTGAATTTATTGGAGGGCTTTATATATTTATGCTATTTTTTTCTAGAGATAACTCTTTTCCCAGCTTGACTTCACTCTTTCTAAGTTGACCTTGGATGAACATAAATTTTGGGAGGGGATTTAAACTTAGAGCTGTATGCTTGCTAGGCAGGCACTCTACAACTTGAGCCTCATTGCCAGCCCTTTTTGCTTTAGTTATTTTTCAGATAGGGGCTTGTGTTTTGGCTCAGGGCCAGCATTGGTCTGTGATCCTCTTACCTACATCTGTCACGTAGCTGGGATTATAGATGCAATCTGCAATCTATAGTTTGTTAGCTGAGACAGGTTCTCATTAACTATTTGCTTGGGCTTCCCCTCAAACTTTGATACTCTCATCGTTGCCTCCAGAGTAGTTGGGATTATAGCTGTGTCCCACCATGCCCAGATTTCGATATAAGTCCTTGACTGCAATATAACCATATTCTCCCAACCCTTTTTCTATTAATTACCTTTGGGGCTTATTTAAGAAAATGTTTCTCATTCAGGATTAGAATATTCAGGTATAGTTGCTACTAAAATTTTATATTTCCTTGTTCACATTTAAATAGTTAGTCTTAGTTTTCGTGTGTGGTGTGCAGTATGATTCCTTCTTTGTTTTTTGGAATTGGCCTTCCCTTCCTCCTCTGTTGATCCACCATGCTATTTCTGTCACATGTCAACATTCTGTATGGCTGGGCCTCTTTCTGTGGCCACTATGCTAGTTCAGTGGCTAATTTCACTGTCTCTAGTCAGAACTCTCTACACAATCAACAGAGTTTGTAAATTCAAAACGTCCTGACATCTGAGAGAGCAAGAAGCCTTCCTCAGCCTCTTGCTCAGGAGTGTCTTGGTTATTCCTGGTCCCTTGTTTTTCCATTTAAATATTTGAATCAGTATTTCAGGTTCCAAAAAACACTGCTGCTGGCATTTTCATTGGAATTACATTGAATCTATATCTCAATTTGGGAAGAATTTGCTTGTTTATGAATTTAAGTCCTCCTATCCACAAAATAGGTATCTATTTATTTAAATCTTCATTTAGAAGATTTATAGGATATCTTCATGCAGGTCTTGCACTTTTTTGTTATTTTCTTTCCTATGTTCTGTTTTTTTGTTGCTATTGTAAATTCTGTTTTTAAAGTGCATTTTTATTGCTTATTACTAAAATGCAGAATGAAAATCTTTTTTTAAATGTGTGTGAGGTTTTTTTGCAATTAAAAAATATCACAGCCAGGTATGGTGGCTCATGCCTGTAATCTTAGCTACTTGGGATGTGGAGATTGGGAAGGAAGATTGTGATTCTAGGTCAGACCAGGCAAATAGTTCACAAGATCCCATCTCAACTAATAGAAGATGGGTGTGGTGGTACATTCCTGTCTTCCCAGCTACATGAGAAGAGTTATGCCTGGGTATAAACATGAGGCCCTATTCAAAAATAACGAAAAGAAAAAAGGACTGGGGGTATGGCTTACATGGTAGAGCACCTGCCTAGCAAGTGCAAGGTCCTAAATTCAAGCCCCAGTACCACTATATATATATATATATATATATATATATATATATATATATATACACACACACACATACATATACACATATGAAAATATATATAAGCATATATGGATACTCACTTTGATAGGAAAGTAGGGCACACAGACCAAATCTCACATAGCAATGGAAGTCCATGCAGCACCTCAGACTGTGGATGGTGTGTGGCTGTGGGTGTGTCAACAGTGGGCAGTTGCTTCTCCTTTCCCCACCATCTGTCAACACACTGCTTCCCCTTCTCTTTTCCAGTGCTGATGTGGTTGAACTCCATGTTGGGTTCCTTTGGGGCCTTCACCGTAGCCATACATCTCTTCACAGTGATGCCCACCTCTGCCAGGGTACCAGCTGTCCTGGTGCTGAGGACTGTCTTCATTACCTCAATAAATGCAGAAAGTGAAACCCAAATTACATTTTCATTGATCTTATATCCTTCCAACTTGCTAAGCTCTCCTATTAGTTGAAATACTTTGTATATAGAAACTGAAGTATTTTTAACGTTTTTATTAGCACACCATAGTTGTACAGGGGGTTTCCTTGTGACTTTCCATATATGCATACAACGTACTCAGGTTTGGTCCATCCCCTCCATTATTCTCCCTCTTTCCCCTTCCCTTTAAATGACTTCAACATGTTTCAATGTTCCATATTCATACACGTGTAGAAATGACATCAACCATATTCACCCTCCTTTACTCCCTTCATTTACCCTCCACCTCCCACTAGTACTCACCCCTTACCATGATCCGTTCCACGTTCCTGTCCTTCATTGTTTTGTGGGGTTTTGCTTTGGCATTTTACCTGTAAATACACTGAACTGTAATCAGTCTAATCCCCTCCATTACTCTTCCTTACCCTTTTTCTCCTACCCTATATTGTTTAAAAGTTTTCAGTGCATTTTGTTGTGTTTTGTTCCTGCACAGACGTGATATATTACAATATTATTCATTCTATCATTCTCTTCTTTCCCTCCTCCCTGAGTCTCCTCTAACATCCCACTTTTGGAAACATGTTCTGTATATATTTGTATATAGATAATGCTCGAAAGACAAAGGTTGCATGAAAGCTTTTTCATATGTGGAAGATAGATTGAAATTGAAGTTTTTAAAGTAATTTTTGTTTTAAAAAATCACATTTACCTGCAGAATTACTACAAAATTATTTCTTACCCTTTATAGCCTAAGCACACCATTCTGTTTTCTTGTCTTATATCCGAAGACTCAAAGTCAAGTAGAAGTGTGGTCATAGGCATCTTTTCTTACTCCTGATTTTGAAGGAAATACACACAATATCCTGCCATATGAGTTGCTTTTAGTTAAAGTTCATCAGGCTAAGGAAGTTCCTATTACTAAATCACTTCAAGTTTTTTTGAGACAATTTCTCTCTATGTAGCCCAGGCTGACTTCAAATTCACAATCCTCCTGCCTCAGCCTCCCCAGTGCTTGGATTATAGTTAAGGTTTTATCATAAATTACTGTTGAACTTTTCAAAATCATCTACTGATAAGTTTTTTTTAGTCCTTAAACTGTTACTATCAAATGACAAAGATAGTGTAATATGAAATTGTTCTAACTTTCCTGGAAAAACCAAATTGTTCATGGTATATACTTTTTAATGCTCTATTAGATACCATTTGATAATCTTTTGCTTAGCTCTGTGAATCTATATCCAGAGTTGAATGGACCTTGCCATTTTCCCTTGCTTCTCCTGTTGACTTTGGGTATCAAGAGCATATTGAAATTAAGATACATTGTAAGCACATATGCAAATACACATTAACCCCCCCATACAATTAATGCATGCTAATAAAAATGTTTTAATAAACATTTAATAAAAATGCTACATTGAGGAATTGTACCTATCGACTCTTTTCCTATTATCTGGAGGACAGTGTATAAAATTGAAGTGGCTCATTTCTTGAATGATTGACAGATGCCACTTGTAAAACCAACAGGGCCTGGTGGTGTCTCTATATGCAATTTTTGTATTCAGTCATTTTATGTGCTCTGCAGTCTTCCTAGAGACTTATTCATTTCACCCAAGTTTTATGATACTTTGACAGACAATTATGGATAGTGCTGTCCTGTTTTATACTATTATAGTTGAGGTTACGCTCTCTTTATATTCCTGACATAAATTACTAGTGATTTCTCTCTTTTTTCTAGCTAAATTTTGTAAATTTGTCTATTTATTATCAGTTTCAGAGAACCAACTTGTGGGATTGTTGATCTCCTCACTGTGTCTTTGGTTTCTATTTTATTTGTTTTTACTCTCCTTTTCTCAGTACCTTCCCTCTACTGTCTTTGCTTTATTCTGATGTTATTTTTCTAATGTTTAAGCTGGATACTTAGTTTATTAATTTATAGCTCTTTCTTCTTTATGAAAGTAGTTATGGATGCATTTCTCTCAAAACACTACTCTTGCATCGTTCCATGGGTTTTTTTGGGGGGGGGTTGGTGGTACTGGGGTTTGAACTTAAGGTTTCAATGCTTGATAGGCAGGTGCTTTACTACTTGAGCTACTCCACCAGCCCTCCATTCCATGTTTTTGATAAGTGTTATTTTAATATTCACTTCTGGATATTTTTTAAAACCCCACTGTGATTCCTTCTTGGAATCTTAAATTGTTTAGTATTGAAAAAATCCAAATTCAGGGGGATTTAAAAACATTTCTGCAAAATATTCTAACTAAATGCATTTGGGTCAAAATATATGGCTTTCATGACATCTATTTTTAAGATGTGTTGAGACTTGCTATGTGGTCTTCACATAATGAATTTTTGTAATGTTTCCCATGTGCTTAAGAATAATGCATTTTTTTATTTCTTAAATTCTACATAAAATTACCAGGCCAGCATGTTAATAGTAATGTTTAAGTCCAAATCTTTACCCAATAGATTTTCCAGACCTAACAACACTTGAGTGTGTTGAAATGTTACATTATGGTAACATGTTTTGTCAATTTTTCTCTGTAACTCTATCAAATATGTGTTATATCTGATGTGTTTTTAAATTATATTTTAGAAATATTAGATCTCTTAGTGAACCGAACAATTTGTCATACTTAGTGATCCTCTCTATCCACATTGATACTTTTGTTTGAAATTTTGCTTAGTTGAATCTTAATATAGATATGCCTATTTGTGATTGGCTAGAGGCTGATAGTTTTCAAACCTTCCCCCAACATTTTGTGTATTTATTATTTAGCAGTTAGTTTTTTCTAAACAGTATATAACAGGTTTTTAAGATGAAATTTGAGGGCTGGGCACATAGCTCAAGTGTTAGAGCACCTGCCTCCAAAAAAATGGAGGTACTCCGGAACCTCCAAAAAATGAATGCAATTTGATATCCTCTGTTGAGTTTGGGCTACTGGTGTTTATTACAGTTATTGATCTATGTGGATTTCTTTCTACTATTTTACTTATCACTTTCAGTTTTTTCTGCTTCTTTAATTTAAAAATTCATTTTCCTTCTTTCTTATGCAAAAATGAATATCTCTGCCTTTTTTTTGTCTAACAAAAAGAACTTTAGTGTACTTTTATATCTCTTGGTCTCTTCTTCTACCTTCTAAAATATTCACATCTTCTACAGAACTGCAGTTTTCATTCTGGATTATCATGAACATATGAAAGATTTCTCTATCCTTTTAGTTAAATATGCAGCTTCAAATTTTACTGTGCTATCCTGTGCTATCAAATAAATCACAGGATTTATTTGAGTTCATGGTTTCAGCAGTTTCAATCCATGGTTACTTGAGCCCCTGTTATGGGACTGTGTTGAGGAAGAAGAACATGGCAGAGAGGATGTAGTAGAGCACAGCTGGCTTCCCTCATGGTGGCCAGGAAGCAGACAGCGTCTGCACTGTTGGGCTTCATCTTCTGCTGTTGTTCCACCTGGATCCCCTTCTGTTCTATTGGACGGTGCCACTCACCTCACAGCAGATCTTCCCCCTCAGTTTCTGTCCTTCATGACAATTGTCACTGGAAATGTCCTCACAGGCACAACCAGAGGTGTACCTAAGTGTCCCTCAACCCAATCAAGTTGACAGTCAAAAGTAACCATCACACAATAATCTCCAGTTTCATCTATTTCCCAGCAAGTGACATAATTTTATTATTCCTAATGATTGTGATGTATTACATTTTCTCAATCCATTCATCTGTTGATGAGCACCAAGGTTGGTTCTATAATTGTGAAGAATGCTGTGATAAACATGAATACACAGGTATTGCTTCAATAAGCTAACTCTGATTCTTTTGGGTCTGTACCCAGAAGTGGTATGGCTCGATCATACAGAAGTTCTATTTTTAATTTTTTGAGAAACCTCCATATTAATTTCCATAGTAGCTGGACTAAAGGTTAAAAAAAAAGTAAAAGGGGATCTACTGGTGAGGTGCGGATAAGAAAGAGTACTAGAGTAAATAGAGGAGGTGAATATGATCAAACTACCTTATATGTGTGTATGGAAGTGTCATAATGAAACTCCACACTTTGTATAATTTAATATATACTAATAAAGATTAGCTATCACACTAACAGATCCCAGAAAAAAAGAGGCCAGCATGCCTCACCAGGTCAATGGGAAAGGAAAGAGAAAGAGGTGGGAGTGCAAGACCTGTAGGCTGAAACCTTTAGTGGGGCCCAGGGTGTTACACAATCAGGTTTCCCTCAGGAACTCTAATGTGTTTAGAAGGAACAGGTACAAGCTCTGTGAAATTGCACTGTGACTGAGAAGTGGTTAGGACAAAACCTATGTGGGGTGTGGTGGACCGAAAGGTCACATCAAGTAAGTTGTATTTAGCTGTTCCATAGGGAAGTGGTCACCAGGAGGTGACTGTACAGGCAGTTATCTAGACTGACTGCCTTGAGGAACTGAAAGGAACAGCCAGAAACCGTGTAATGGGTGACTGAGTCCTGCTTCTTGCATGCGAAAGTCCAGCTTATGTACTCAAAACGGATACCGAGTTAACATTAGATTACAAGAACTCACGCTATGCCTGACTCTTTACTCCTGCTATGATTCCTTCTTTCCTCTTCAGGGTTCCAGGCAGGAGTCCTGGCCAGATAGTCAGGGAGACCAAGCATCCTCTACCGGGGATGCCCTTCCTCTAGGGGAACAACAGGATCTCCACTATGCCTCTCTCAGTTTTCATGGGATAAAGCCTCAAGAGCTTCAGGACATGAAGGCCACCAGCACCACCGAGTACTCAGAGATCAAGATAAACAAATGAGGACTCACCCCATGCTCAGTCTTGGTAGGAAGCTTCACATCCTGTCTGAGGGAAAGGAGGTGGATTAATCATGGGAGCACGATGAGCCCTTGTGACAACTGCTGTGAGAGTGTCTCCAGGTGGAGCAGAAAGAAGGGAACTGATGGATTAGAGAAACTTGAACTCAAACCCAGGCTCCAGCACTGTTAACAAGCAGTTCACGTCATCGCTCTCTGCCTAGGTTTCTCTCACTGTAAATCAAACAGTCCATGTCCTACCTTAAAGTTGTTATGAGCATTAAAGAGACCAATATAAAGAAGTAAACCAATAGAGGTCCTGTCGTGGGGCATGTGATTAGTGCTTCCTTGGATAGAAAGCTTCTAATGGCATGTTCTCCTGAGGCCAGGAGGTGCCCAGGTGCAGAGAACTGGACAGCAGCATGGTGGCATCAATCCCTTTCTTTAACTATTCACAACCCCTCCAGGAAAGACAAGATCCCCAGTTGGGCATTCACTTCATGATGTGACATCCTTTGTCCTCTCCTCACCCCATTTTACTTGCCAGTCTTTTCTACATATCACTTCATCTCCAGTCCCTTCCTTATCTCATCCGGGGACCCAGAGATCCCTCTGGATGAAGTCATAGAGTAGACTCTATCACTTCTCTGCCAAGACCCGCTCATGGTACCCTGGAAAGATCAACTCCTTCCTCTGGCATTTGAAGTGCACTGAAGTCTCTCTATGCACCTACTGACCCATCCTCTCCTCTTTGATCACATTTCCCTAAACCTTTCATGCTGGCTTATACCACACTGTCTTTGCAATTGCAATCCCTCCTCCAGGAAGCCACACCACCTTGTTTCATCTGGCTTACACGATATTGTTTATAAAACATGGGTTCATGGGGGACTTGAGTTGAGAGGGTGGGCTGGAAGTAGAACTAATACATCCCCTTCTCGAAAGTTGAATTAGTTTAACGTTCTTCAAGTGCTAAAATGAAAATAGTAAAAGATTCTCCCACAGCACCCAAACTAGATAAATGACAAAGCCATTTCCTAAACTTTAAAGTGGCCACGAGGAAAGAAGTAGACAGGTTCTATTTGGTACTGGGAAGACACTGATTCCAAATATCTACTACCCAAACTCCATTTTCAACACCATAAGTAGAGCTGTGACTATCATTTTGATAAACACAAGCTAGATCATTCTGATTAAGCCTGATGTTGAAATTAATAAAACCCTTTGGAAAAAAATAAGAAAAAAACTCTTTCACTTATTAAGTATAGAACACCTAGAAGGAAAATGGAAACTTACCATGGCCAAAATTTGGGGGGAAGTCTGAACCCAGGGAATTAAGCACAATATCTAAGAAAAAATGACATCATTTCCAAGTGCAAGTTTTGGTTCTGTGTTCTTGCAAGTGGCCCTACAAATGAAAGTACAGACTCTGGCCCTGCCCAAGGCAGAAGGTTTCACTGGAGGACATTCTCACATGACTAGGGCAGGTTTGAGTCAAAGGAAACCAAAGATAAGGAGAAAATCTCAGCAGATACAAGAGGAGAGAAAGACAGATTACTTTCAAAGGAAGAGCAGTTTAATTGGCAACTGAATTATCAGTAGTAACCATGGAGATCAAAAGAAAGCAAATATTATCTTTAACGTAATTTATAATCTCTATTCAGTAAAAATAAATGAAAGGAGAAAGGAGCAAGGACCTTTTGAAGCAAATATGTGGGGGAACTTATTATCCACTAATAAAAACAAAAGATAGTTTCAGAATTCTAGATGATAGTAACAGTTTCATACAAAGTAGATTTTACATTTCCTAATATCAATACATTATCCAGGAGGAGTGAGATCTTTTCACTTACTAAAGACTTTCCTAACTGAATTTTTCATGCTGTAATTTTATGGTAATGACTAAAAGAATAGAATCATAATATATCATTTATGCCCTATCAGTCATTTACTATAAAAATGTCATAAACCAAAAGAAAGCAAGAATGGAGAGCTAATGCAACATAGAATTGGTGGCCCATAGAGAAAACAAAATTGTAACTTGGACCACACAGAAAGACTTTCTCTTTCTTTTTTTTTATTTATATCTGGGTCCTCTATTCTGTTCCACTGGTCTTCATGTCTGTTTTTGTTCCAGTACCATGCTGTTTTTATTGATATTGGTTTGTAATATAGTTTGAAGTTGGGTATTGCAATATCTCCAGCATTGCTCTTTTTGCTGAGTATTGCCTTGGTTATTCGTGGTCTTTTGTGTTTCCAAATGAACTTTAGGGTAGATTTTTCAATCTCTGTGATGAATGTCATTGGGATTTTGATGGGAATTGCAGTAAACATGTAGATTGCTTTTGGTAGTATAGCCATTTTTAGTATGTTAATTCTAAAAATACCAAGAGCACAGATCTTTCTACCTTCTGTAGTCTTCCTCAATCTCTTTTTTCAGATGTTTGTAGTTCTCCTTGTAGAGGTCATTCACATCCTTTGTTAAATTTATAATTTAATAAAAAAATAAAAAATAAAAAAAATGAACAAATAATTTTTAAAAAATTGAACAAATAATTTAAAAATATTTTATTAGCATATAATTGTTGTATAGGGGGATGCATTCATTGTGACATTTACATATGTGCTTACAATGTGTCTTAACTAGATTCATCCCCTCTCCCTTTTCTTAGAACAATTTCAACAGGTTTCATTGTTCTACTTTCTTTTTTAAAGGTAAAGAAATGCCTCCCATCTTCTTGCTCTTGGAGAATTAATATTGTTAAAATGGCCATACCATGCTAAATGATTGACAAATTCAATACAATCTCCATCAAAACAGCAATGTCATTCTTCACAGGACTAGAAAAAAATTTCTAAAATTCATATGAAAGCATAGGAAATCCTGAATAGGAATCCTGAGCAGAAGAGCAATGCTGGACGTGTAACAATATCTGATTTCAGCATACTGTAGTAACACAGTAACACAAACAGTATGGAAATGGCATAAAAACAGACAGGTACCCAATGGGACAGAATAAAGGGCCCAGAAATAAAACCATGTATGTACAGTCACAGCCTTTTCAACAAATGTTTTTTGGAAAATTGGATATCCACACGTAGAAGAAATTAGATTACTAACTCTCACCCTGTGCAAAAATCTATTCAAAATGGATCAAAGACTTTAATCATTACCTTCACAGGGGCGCCAGTGGATCCCCATCTCACAGCCATACATCATCTGTACGGTGTGAGAACCTGGTCCTGGTCCCACCGGCCCCCACACCCCATACCCCACACCGACCCTGGGGATTTCAACCAAGAATGAAAAGTGAAATCAGGTCAGAGTCACAGTCGTCCCTCCCAGGTCCAAAGTCTCTGCACATGGTCCAAGGTGAATCTTGGATCTAGGACCCCGGTACTCCTCAGGCCCATCAGGATTAAGTGAAGGGGTTGTGATCTCCGATCTGGCCTGGGGTCACTCACTGTCCTCGCTCTAGTTGTGGTAACCCAGCAGGATCCACAGGTTCATTTGGGAGGTCTGTATAGTGACCTTGGAGCATTACGTGTCCTTCTCCCAATACTGAGGCCCCTCCTGCTCCATCCATGGCCCCATCCTCCAGTATGCTTTGTGGCCACCCAGGTCTGGGTCAAGGCTAGGGCCCCAGAGAGCAGCAGGAAGATGGTTCAGGCAACATGGCCCCCATCCATGGAGCACCAGATCAGCTTTGTTGGTCTTTAAACTGGAGAGTTCCTACCTGATAGATTTTATAAACATTCTGCTTTCTGAGAATCCTTTACCAGCAGGTAGCAGTGAGGCAGGAAAGATAGATGAGAAGACAAGGAAATTATATTATTTTAATAAATATTTAAAGGGTTAGGCTCCGATATTGGAAAAAGGAGAGCCAAAACAGCTAGCCCCCTCTCATCTCCTTTTAGATGCTAAATTGCAGGAACAGGGAGACAAAAAGGAGCTACCTGCTACTGCTTTCCTCTTTGAGATGTTAAGAAGCTGTCTCATTGTTCTATTTTCATACATAAGTACAAAATACAACTGCCAAATTTGCCCTCCTTCCCCTTTCCTTATACCCTACCTAATCTCACTGAGCTATGTTAAAAAGCAAAAAAAAAGGAAGTCACTGGGACTCAGGCACCATGTGAGCTTTCTGAGTGGCAGAGATCTTTTCCAGTGCAAACTCTTTGCTTAAAACATGAATATTGATCACATTCTATGCCTATGATTAAAATCCCAATGAGCTAGCTTAAGTGCATAAGCAGAGTAACTGCCAATCACCCAAGCCCCATCCACTGGAACTGCCCAAATCTTTCCACACCAGCAAGTTATTGGCAATTTAAAAATGCCTTGAAACAAAAAGCCTCTCCATCTCCCCTCCCCCTCACCCTCTCCCACCCCCACCACAATCCTCACCTACAGTAAACTTTATTATCTCCCTTACTACAATTACATGTCCTGCCTGGATTCTTCCATGCACGATGCAAGAATTTAGGAGTCTTGGGATCAGTGCTTTCAGAGGTTATTACAGACTACAGCACCACTGGAACTCACCCCCAGACAGAACCTGTTTTACCTTCCTGTCCTTCAACAAATCATTTTCTTCACAGAGACTATAGCCGAAATCAAATAACAACACATCCTTCTTACTCAAAATCTTGATAGATTTGACAACATTGAAAGTGAAAATGTTTGATGCTGGAGGTGTGGCTCACATGGTAGAACACCTGCCTAGCAAGCTCAAGGCCCTGAGTTCAAACCCCAGTACCACCAAAAGAAAAAAAAGGTTTGTCAAAGTAAAGGACGGACTGCAGGTGATAAGTGGTCAAGGAAACATCTCTCTTTCTCAGGAAACTTCTGTTTGCACCTGAGAGACATCTCTGCCCTCAGGTAATACAAAAAAGGCTATAAAACCCAATCTCCAACCTGACCCACAGGACCACCAGTTTCCGGGTCCCCCTGCATGTCCTCGTGCAGTTTTCCTCCTCTCTTCTCTACAAATAAGATCTTTCTGACCTTGCTGCTGGAGTCCACCTGTGTTTTCATTCTCAGAGCAGACTCAAGAACCTTGAGCACCTGAAATTCCTGTGCGTGTCATCTGTGCATCATATTTGGTGACACATGAAGGGACAGCCTTCACCTGAGGTTGGTATAGGTTGTGCCAAACTGGGAAAGTTTGCCTAGGAATGTGACCGTGACCATCTGGCACTTGATGAGTCTGTTCTCCAGGAAAGCCTTCCCACCATGGCCTAGCTATGGTGGACCTCTCATGCTGACTCTCTCTCTCTCTCTCTCTCTTTCTCTCTCTCTCATTAAGGAGGGTTTCTCCCTTGGGAACCTGAGAAAAAGCTCTGAACACACTACAGCTGTAAGGCAGGCAACCCGAGAACTTGGGAGCCAGCTGGGGGCTTATACCCGACTGCCAATGCTACCTGGGCAGAGCTGAACTTCCAGGCAATGAGGCTTTTTTTTTTTCCCCTCTTCTTAAACTCTCTCCCTTAAAGATCTGACACACTTAGGAGGAGGTCCAAAAACAGCTGGTGGAAAGGAAAGTTTCTCTTCAAGCTATAAGGGTGTTCTGGCCGGGGCACTCCCTGGTGTCACCGAGGGCTGGAGATGCAACTTCCTGACCCGCCCTGAGGCCCCAAAGGCAGCTAAGTCTTGGACTCCTCCAGCCATGTCCAAGGCAAACAGACAATCAGATCTCTTATGCTTCTTTCACGGTCCCTGTGACCTGAGAGTG